TAGGGCTTTGGGGTTCAGGCTTTCAGGGTTTAAAGTCTAAAGGTTTGCTTGGTGTTGTAGGATTTGGGGTTTGGGTCTTGGAGTTCTAGGGTCAGGGGGGGCTTGAGGTTGTAGGAGTTTAGGGCTTTGAGGCTGTGGGATTTCAGGCGCCAGCTTTCAGAGTTAGGGCAGGTTTATATACCCCTTTATGAAGAATTAAGCTGGGTAGGGCTATGAGATCAACATGTGGGGGCTCGCAAAAGATGTGGTGCCCCTTTCTTGGGTAAGGATTGGGATTTTGGGCTTAGTAAATAGTAGGACCTTGCAGGCCTTGGAAGCCTCAAGCAATCCAAAACAAACAAACTTTGTTTTGAAGCTTCACTTTCAACATATCTGGCAAAAACGCTTGACGTTTAACAAAGTTCCCCAAAAACTGTCGGGGAATCTTGACATAAAAGAAAGTACCTGCACAAAAGGCAGTGCCACATGACTAACCTACCAAGAAACGCCTACAAAAACAAGTCGATTCGACCGAGGAGGCGGACAGTCTTTTTGTCGCGAGAGGCATGAGCCTGGGGTATGGTGCCTAGACCCACCTGCAAACTCCTCAGCAAGGGAAAAGGGCTGAGTGGAGATTGCAAGCTTCGGTGAGCTCGCGCTGCTAACTCATGAGCTGGGGAAGGGGATGCTGGAGGCTGCTGGGTAACCAGGAGAAGAAAGTACAGAACCTAACCTATGGAAAGCCCTCCATGAGGCCTTCACAAGGAACTTCCCCCCTCATGGCCACTCATCCCAGATTCAGGAGCACACGCAGCCTAGTAAGCAAAACGTAGCAGAACGCTGCGGCGCTATTTCGCGCCCAATGCATCCCGCTGGAGAAGTCTGGAGCCCGAGGGCCCCTATTGCAAGTTGGGCTTGCGCTTTTTTTCTGCACAGGTTCCCAATGGGGCTTGTGGCTTGGGGTTGTAGATTTACTTTGGATTTGCTGTAGGAAAAATAAGTCTTCCAGGAAAAGTCCCTCGGAATCTCCAACGAGAAGCTAATTATTGAAGAAATGATCTGTAAAATCCTCACCCGTGTCGCCCTGCAATTGGCTGTCACGGGGTGGGGTGTGAATTAGTTCCCGTCTCCTTCACAAAGATTCGTACGAAAAAGCGCCATGGCCGATACCCTCCCCCAACACAAACATGGAACCCCAGCAGGGTGGCCCGTTTAGGGGACATGTTTGGGGGTGCCAGGCAAGTGTGGGGAAGTGTATACTCGGCCTAAGGCAGCGGGACGGGATGCTTTTGCTGTCATCCTCACACGTTCGCCTCAAGCCTAGCCCCTGGGACTTCAGGTGCCAAAGTGGGGATAGGGTTGCTCCAACCCATGGGTTTAGGGTTTAGGGTTTAGGGTTGACAACTATAGTAGGACTACAATAACATCCTAAGTTCTTGCAGGTTGGGATTAATATTTTTTTGGTAGACTCAACGCCCCAGGGATGCTGTAGACCCTGAGTCGCCAGTATGCAAATGGGCGAACTCAGGCCTTCAGACTTGAAAGCAAGCTGCCCTTCTCTCCAGATGGGAGCCTTAGCTTGCTGTACTGGGCTGCTGTCAGGGAGAACTCAAATGGAGTTCGCACAATCGGTATATATAGTGAATAATAGGGTTTCCCCAGTATAGTAGCTGAAATTAAACTTCTTTTGGGCTTTGGGTTTAAGGGCAAAGCTCAGAGTAATTTGCTTAGACCGAGTTAGTTTTAGGTCTTTATAAAGACTTCATGGCATGCGTACTGTAAGACTTGTTGATCGACTTTAGGCTACATTTGGCCGCTTTAGAATGAGCCGAAAACACTATCCTTTTTGTTAGCTGCAAACTCTAAAGATCAAGATGTGGGAGTTTCCATGCGTCTGGACCTGAAACCCTAAACCCCATATAGTCATCCCCAATCGGATCCCTAATCTTCGGAAAGTCCCATGTAGACGCTGCGGCCGGAACTGCAACACCTCCAAACCGGATATCCAATAACCCTGCACCCTTGTAAAACAGGAGGCCGCCCAAACGCCTCAGCCATGGTATGAAACACTTGCATTTCACACCCCACATCCCTATAAACCCAACCCTAAACCCTAAGCCCTAAACCCCAAACCCTAAACTCTAATCTCAACCCAGGAGCTGGCTGAAGAGCGACTGAATCTGCGACTTGAGGAAGGCCGTTCGAAGGCCCTCCGCTCTCGCCTTGCGCGGTGGTTTTCCAAAATGAGGGTTACCGTGAAAGGGGTCTGTAGGGGTATATAGTGAGATATAGGGTTTAGTGTTTAGGTTTTTTCACAATTAGGGGAATTATATAGGGGTATATATTGAGATATAGGGCTTAGGGTTTAGTATTTGGGGGGTTTGCCACAATTAGGGGCACCTCTTTGGGCATTTTGGGGTCTATATTGGGGTCCCCATATTTGGGAAACTACCATTCAGTGCTTGGGCTTCAGGGGGACGAAACCGCGACCAGGATCATACCGAGGTCTGTTTGAAGGACCCTACACTAGGGTTAACAATAGGACCATTTAGGTTTAGGGTCTAGGGTTTAGGGTAATAATTTAAGCCCCTGTAGTAAAGGATTCGAGTAAAGGGCTCCGGCTTAAGGGATTGCCTGTAAGTCTACCTGACGAATTGAGGTTGGGTACCGCCCAGACCCCGTAAGCAGTCCATGTTAGGGGTCACATTATGGGCCATGTACAACTATGTATAATATATTGTGCTCCAACTGTTGCCCAGAATTAAGGGCACTGTAGGGTAGGATGACAGAGCTTCAGGGCTTGGGGTTGCAGGGTTGTAGGGGCTACAGGCTACAGGCCTTAAGTGCACTCCAGGAAGCTCATTTAGAGTCACCATGCATGGTAGCGTCTCTATAACCACATGAGCCATAGTCTAAACTCCTAGTATCCCCCTTAATAACCCCCATAGTAGTCCGGTATATAATCCTCTATATAACCCCCGTTGAAGGAGTTTAGACTATAGCTCACATGAATGGACAGAACATCTGTCGAGGTGCAAGGTTCGTGTTATGGGGAGCACCCAAAACTAGTCCATAATTTTTGACCGCAGAGAAAAGGCTTCCAATACCCGAGCACAGGCTTACGCGCCCTAGGTATCCGTACTGCTGGTCGTAGAACGGGGCAGATTTCGTGGCACCCATTGTTCACTTCATCCTAGTGACGACCAAGAGTGTTCAAGAGAACCGTTCAATCTGCAAGGGTCAAGAACCATGGTTTCATGTTGGAAGGGATGCCCTACCACTCCCACCCCAACATAACCCCAATATAACCCTAATATGACCCCTTGATCCCAAAGCCCCGAAGCTGGCCCTAAATAAAAGAAAAGAAACCCTACAGCATGAGAAGGGAAAGCTGGCCTCGATGTTCTGCGACTCGAGCCAGCTAACCATCTTCGAGTCACTGGCAAGGTCTACCTACAGGAAGCAGCAGGGGATTATGTAGGGATATATAGGGATAATGGAAAAGAAAATGGAAACTACTATTTAGGGTTTAGGGCTTGGAGGTTCAGATGCATGAGAAAATGAGGCTTTCCCAAAACTAGGGGAACCGTGGGGGGGGGGGGGTCCCTATGATGAGGACTGTAGAATTTCGAGGTCTCTATCCTTGTTCATGGGAATTACCAAGCCAGGGTTTGATAGTATAAGGTTTCACGGTCTCACGTTTCACGGTCTTCGAATGAACCCTAACAACTACTTGGAGGGTCAGGGGGACTTAGTAAGTAGGTTAATAACCCAAGTAAACCAGTTATTATGCATAGTTCCCCCATTATCAACGTACCTACTGAGTCCCCCTGACCTCAAACCCGAAATAATATTAGCTTCCACTCTAAGTCCCCATACCTTCAACCCTGTCAAACCCTAGACCCTAAAAACTAAAGACCTGAAGACCTAAACCCTAAACACTAAACCCCACAAAGTAGAACAACTTTCCAAATCTGCCCGCGCAGCATGGCTCTCCTTGGCCCAACTCTGAATCAACGCCTCGCCCGCCTGCCATGAACCACAGGGTAGGTTTTAGGGGTTAGGGTTTCGGTTCTAGGGTTTATACATATATGCGTCTGCGTGTAAAAAGACATGTGTACATATATATATATGTAGAGATGGGGTTTAGGGGTTAGGGTACGGGGTTGACACTCAGAATCTTGCGTGACCTGTGCTTGATACCTTGGGAAAATACCGCCCTCCAAGGTCCCTAAGGTTTCGGTTTTAAGGGTTGAGGATCTTCAATGTTCGAAAAATTTAGGGGTTCAAGCTTGAGGTTTGAGATTCGTGCATTCTTGATATCAGGGTAGCCTACCTGGACCCCCAAAGCATGTGGAACTATGGCCTTTTGGCTAGTTTTAGGGCATTATACTCACCTAGTGTTGGGCTGCAGGTATTGGAACCTAGGCATATTTTTTGCTGACATCAGGCCATCTTTGCAGACTCGTATGTAATGAGCTTGGCGAAGAGTAGTGTGTCTCTGAAGTGGCCACGGGGTACGGCAGTCCAACTTACAAAGTGCTGCAGGCCACACCACAGGAAACGCAGTGGCCTGAATGCTTACCAATATCATGTTGAGGTCATTTGGGGGGCCTCATGCAAAAAATGTACAAGGAATCTAGAGACATAATATTCATAATCAGTTAGGCTCCTAAATTCCAGTAAGTTACCAGGCCGACTGTCACGGAAAACCACGGTGGCCTTGTGGGTCAAGGTCTCGTCAGCCTTCTGCAATCCTCAGCTGCATAGCAACATGTCCTCTACGGTTGTAGGGTTTAGGGGAGCCGAATCTTTGAGAAGGCTCTGAAGTTCTTATGGCGTAAAGTGGCCAAGCAGGAGTCATGCCCATGATGCCTTGCATCACCAAGCACACGCCACAGTCAATCGCTCACTAATTTCATCACCTGGGGGCGTGGTTGCGCCCACAGGTATTGGTGTTGGTCGAACTTTGGGCTTTTGTCAAAAAAAGAGCAGAATAAACTACTTGCTGGCCTAGATTCGCTTGATCATGTGGTCCTGCAGGACCCTCCTCTTCACCTCGGCTTCCCTGGGTCACAAACTTTTTGAAACAGCACACTCCTGAATCCTGAACTCCAAACTAGAACTTTCTCAACCTGCAGTTCTCCTACAGCTGTATTGCAACTATTGTGACAGCGATCATGTTTTTTTCATGATTAGACTCACGAATATCCAGCAGGCTAGCAAGTCACGCGCCAGAAGAAGTATCGGCGGGAGTCCTTCCAGCAAACGCTGTCCCGAACGACGTTCTTGGCCTTCCGGGATGGAAACGTACGGGACACCCCAAGATGCTAAAAGCATGTGCCCCAAGTAAAAAAAACAAAACAACGCTTGCCAAGAGTGCGACATCTTAGACAAACGGGCCATAAAACACATGAGAATGAGATCCTGAACTCATGCCGCCCCGAAGAACTTGAAACATGCAGGCGAAGATCCTGCATTCATACACCCTCATATCTTAGAACCACACGAGCGAGATAGGTGGCGCAAACAAAGCCTGACAAAACGCAAGAACGATAATGAAAGACAAGCCTCACAATCACACCAGGAAGAACAACAAAAAACGCAGTGTTGGGAATGTTTACCGTCTCGGCCATTCGGCCGCATCCTTTGGATTGGGTCGGACCTCCACCCATGAGTAGTGATCACAAGGGATACTGGTAATTATGTTCACATTCCTATCTGGTAGCTTTCCTTCAGAAGAGGACCCAAGACAGGAAAATAATGCAATTTACAAGCACCCCGATACCATCTCCCTCATCTTGTGCAGTTCCCGTATATTCCTAGTCAGCCTAGCCCAGTTTGATCCCCAAAGCTGATCTTGGTCTCCCTAAGAGATACTGATGCACGTTCTAACCGATGCTAACCATACTGGTAGACTCACTCTGGCAAGAGGGGCCATCATGTAACGGTAGTCTTAGAGGCAATCATGCTGATTGCTTTCTTGAGGATTTGTCTTGATGGATTTTTGGCATCTGGAACTTCAATATCTGCGTCAGTGGATGTTCGGGGCCTTGACAGGCAGCATGTGAGGAGCATGTCTGAAAGGACCTAACTTCCCCAAGAAACCAAACCCAGGACCCACACACAAGGTCTTGTAGATCTGTGCTCTTTATAATGGCAAACCCTTTTGAAATGAAGCACAGTTCTTGGAATATGAACTTTTTAGTGTAATTTATGGAAACTTCCTTACTGTTTGCGGAGGGTAGTTACCATCTCTGCCTTCATGCGCCCAGCGCGGTCGTGGAGGTCGGCGAAGGTGGTGGCCACGGAGGTGTACAGCGGAAGAAGCTGCTTCTCGCGCGCCTTGATGTCCTCCATTGTCAGAGGCGGAACAATTAAATCCGTCCCCTGAGCGACTAATTGGATTCAAAGTGTAACTGTGCAGATTACATAGAGGTTGCAAAGGGATCACCCCCGAGGCCCTTCTCCACCTGCGGCTTGCAGTCCAGAAGCCCCGAGCCCTTGATGCCAAGAAATCTGATCGCATCCCAACCTGAGACCCTAAACCCCAAACTGACAAGACTGAACAAGTCAAGGTCCTTCTGCTCTCTACCTTCCCTGGAACCCTAGTAGAAATTCGAATTTCAGTTGCTTGCTCGGGTTATACATACTCACCTCCCCTGAATTAAAAAACTGCCCCAATGTATACATGTACATATATATATATGTATCTCTCTCTCTCTCTCTTATTTACTACATTACGGGTCTTTCTCATTAAGGGGGCGGGGGGTTATTCTCAGGGGAGGGCATTCATATAGATTAGACAAAAGTGAGGGAACTTCCTTATATGGGTTAGCGAGGAATGAAGGAATGGATCCTTGTAGGAGTCCCTGTGTATTCCCCGATATTCTAGTGGTTTCCATTTTCTTTTCTGTTCTCCTACATATATATATATATATGTTCGTTCATCCCTATATAACCCGTTTACATTTCATTGTGCATGTTCTTTTCCATCTGATTCTCCGTCATTAGGGATATCATCCCGAAGCCCTAAATAATCCGCACATAAACGCTTTTGAAGCCTTTTAATGTTATAAGAGGCTCTATTTTCTCTTGAAATCCTTAGTTCCCTGCAAAGCAAATTTCCAGGGAACTTCTATACGTCTCCCTAAACCCTAAACCCTACGAACTTCAAGGGTGGTTTAGGGTTTAACTGTAAGGCTTAATTACTAACCCTAAACCCTAAACCCTAAACCGCGTATTACTCTTCCGATTCGTTATATATGATTACATAGGGTGTATGTTGCATAAGAAAGATTGCTTCGCAGAAATACCCCAGACTCGTGCATCTTGGGTACTGACACCGACCACGAACAGATTATAACGAGATTTTCTTTGTTTTGTTACTGGGACCTTTTTCCGTCCAGCTGGACGCAAAATCTTACTGACAGGGTCTAAGCAATAGGACTAGGGTCTAGGATTTCGGGTTTTAGGGTATTATATGTTCATGCCTTAGGTATTATCCATTCATTTCTGAGTGGGGGCAGTATGCAACATGAATTTCTTGGCTTCCCTTACCCGCCCCCACCCACATACCATCCCCTCCCTCTATATTCCCCCTAAGTTAATCCAGGTGTACCCCTTGGATCTTGGAGGGTTTATGTAGTAGTTTTCCCCTTTTATATATCTTCGCATATAAAAAAACCTCTGCACTTACCTCAGGTCAGCAAGGAATGAAGTAATGGATTATTCTCGTAGTCCTAAATACTCCCCAATGGTGTGACAGTTTTTCAGCCCTACTAGTATTCCGTCCTTCTCCACCTCCGCCTTCTGGGCACCTTGGCTGCCCTCGAGCTTGGCATCCAGTTCTTTGAGCTTGGCGTCGATGCGGTGCATGGCCTTCAAGTGCACACGGTTCAGGGCTTAGGGCTGGCTACACTTGACACACAATGGATTATAGGGAACCTTTTTTACAATCTTCAAAGCAAAGCTTACATGCCTGTGTTCGTGTTCAAAAATGCGCGTATGTTGTGAGGTGTAGGTCAAGGACACTTTGCTTCAGCAAACGTGAAGTAAGATCACAGCATTGCATGACATCTAGCTAGGCATGCTACAAAGCACTGGCTGTTTTCTACTAGTACTGACACGAGACCATAATATGTTTCATCATGACTTGGGTTTCCTTACCTAGCCCAACGCTCTACGAACCACCATTGGCTATAGCATCTCAGCGTCTATTTCATCTTCCTTTTTCCTTTCCATTTGATTCGCCATTGTTGGCTATAGTTTGGGTAATGTAGAGCCCTGCTTAATCAACCCCCTCCCCTTAGTAGGGAGTATACTAGGGATCCTAATATTTAGGCCCTTAAAAAGAGGCGGCTTATCAATCACGGGTCCTATTCTTGTATAATATAGGAAAGTAGTTTCCATTTCTTTTCCATCATCCCTATACAACCCCTATACTACCCCAATAGAAACCGAAACCCTTTTCCCTTATCCCTTTATAGCCCCTGTATTACCCCAATATAGACCCTAGTACTCACTGGGTCTACATTACGCAAAAATACCCTCCTCCCCATATAAACCCTTTATCCCCTAAACCCTTTATACCCCTAGTAATCAGGGGTCTACATTAATTTATCACGCCGAAAATTACCCTCCCTACATTGCTGGAGCACTCCTCCAGCTGCTGCGGGGCTCGGTACTTCACCTCCACAATACCTGGCCAGAGGTCCACGAATCTAGGGGCTAAAGGGTGCAAATGTATAGGTGCAGGGCTTCAGATAGGATTTCGGTGTTAGGGTGGAGGGGAGGGGAGTCCAGGGTCTAGGGTGTAGGGTTTGGAGTTGAGGCTGGTAAGTGAGGAGATGGGATCATGATACAGGGGCTACTGCGCTTGTGCCCAACTTCCAATGTTTAGGGCTTTTTTGAACTCTAGACCTTAATTCCCTACAGGATCCCTTCAATGCAGCCTCTGTACTCACTCTGTCTCCATCTCTCTGTTCAGGTGACGCCTCCGGACGCCCGAAAATCAGAAGCAGCAGTTCACGAGAAAGCAGGGGTGCTTCAGCAACCCGGGGGATGCACAAGGAGAATGTAGTGTCCTTGTTAAGGACCATGAATGGCGAAATTTTGAGAACTGCCCGAAATCCTAAACCCTGACCCCCAAATCTTGAGCACTTAACTTTGAATCCTAAATCCTAAGCCCCAAGCTCTGAGATCTGACGGCCTGGGGGCTCCAGGATGCCGCCGCGGGCATCCACATCTGCATACATCTCCATCTTGTCCTTGGTTGTTTTGTTCATCGGCCTGTATTTCTTGGCCCCTTCCCCCACCTCCTAGCAGCAACCACAACGTAAAGCACAAACACAAAAATCAGAATCTAGTGGGGTTGCTGATTTTCTGGATCCGGCAAACCCCTCCTCCTCCTCCTCCATACCCATGATTACCGTAAAATCTCAAAAGTTAGGGTTTGCTGTGGTAGGCAGGGACGTGAAAGAACTGGCTTTGGTTTTTGAGAAACCTGCATATCAAGCGGAAGCCCAACTTGCTCATCTATGCTTGTCACCACCCAAGTGTCAGCAATCCCTGCACAACCCAGATATAAGCTCGTGACCTATGAAGATAAAGGTCCAGAGTTTTGAGTAGGCTCCTCGATAGAACCCCAACAGCTATCTCAAATCCTTCTTTCTTAAAGACGGGCTTCCCAAACTGAGGGTTCTGTTTTGAGGGTACCAATAATCAGGATGATAATTAGGCTGGGGTGTATGAAAGGGGACGCCCGTGCTTTTGGAAACTCTGAACCCTAAAGCCCTGCAACCATTAACCGTGCGCCATGCTACATTCCCACGCATCCCTCTAGAAGCTTCTGGGGCCCTGTACATATTGTACATGTAGTAACCCCAAATCCTACATTCCTTCGCAGACTTTACTTTGTAAAACACTACATAACCCCAGTTTCCAGTTTCTTTTTCCGGTTGATTTTCCATTATACATTAGCTCCAATTTCCTATTGAGCACCAGTTTCCATTTTTCGATTTGGTTCTCCATTTTTTATTTTCATATCCATGACTACCCCAAACCCTAAAACTCTAACACCCTAAACCCTGAGCCCTGAGACTCTAAACCCTAAAGCTCTAAACCCTAAAGCTCTAAACCCTAAAGCTCTAAACCCTAAAGCCCCAACACCCTAGTCCCTAAGCCCTATGATCCCTCAAACCCTAAAACCCTAAAACCCTGAAACTCTAAACCCTAAAGCCCGAAAATCCTAAAACCCTAAACCTGAAATTGTGCATATGAGCCACTGTCTAAACTCCTAGTATCCCCCTTAAGAACCCCTATAATAGTCCCCTATATAATCCCTTGTATAACCCCCCTTTAAGGAGTTTAGACCCTAAACCCTAAACCCTATGTTGAAGAGCCCAGGGTCTGGGTTGATGGCAGGATCGATGACCACCCAGGCGCCGCCCCGAAGCTCGCCTTTAACGAAAGACCACTAGGGTTTAGGGTTTAGGGGTTTAGGGTTTAGGGTTTAGGGGTTTAGGGGTTTAGGGGCTTTAGGGTTTAGGGGCGATATAGGGGTATAGGAATAAGGGAATTATAAGGGTTCAGGGTCTAGGGCTTTTTAGGGTTTGGAGTTTTAGTGCCTATTTAGGGTTCAGGATTATATGGGGATAGATGAGGCTATACAGGAACAATACAGGGCACATAGTGACATGTAGGGGGTCACTTTTCGGAGATGGGGATATACAAGGATAACATGGTGGTATCCAGGGTTTAGGGTTTGGGGATATGACCACAATAGTGGAGACTCACATGGACAAGAAAATGGAAGATGACACGGACACCGGTTTCTGTAGGGCTGTATAGGGTTACTTGGAAGGTCAGGGGGACTTAGTAAATAGGTTGCTAATGGGAATAACTTGCGTTATTCATGCTAGGAATATTCTCCAAGTCTCCCTGGTCCTCCGAGGAGGTAGGTAAATATGTCTTCGGTTACCCTAAATGGAAGTCGAAGGCTAATCCAAATGCAGATGAAATAGGAAAATGAAACGGAAATTGGGCTTATGTAGCGATTTAAGGTTTGGGAGTTAGCTAGGTGAGCACGTTGCGACACACTAGTGTCATCTACAGTGGCAACTATAAAAGACTCTCCTTGCGCAAGTTGACGCGCACCATCTATGGCCTAGGATGGCTTAGGACCTAAGGCTTAAGATTCTTACAATGACTTAGCCTTTGGGGCTTTGGGATGCTGGCTCAGGGCCTGTGTCCCTAAACTCCTATAGTCCCCCTTAAGTAGATAGAATATGGCTTTGGGTATATTATAAGAAGATCCCCATATATCTCATATTCTATCTACTTAAGGGGGACTATAACAGCATGAATCCTTGCACGTCCCTTTCAGGCACGGTCCCTAAGCAATGACTCCTTACTGGTTCTTAGTAGGCAATAAAGGAATAGCATCCCCATATAATCTCCCTACTAAGAACCGGTAGGCTTACCTCTGGCTAGAAAGGCATGGGGCAATGGATCCTTCTTCTGGTACTTCTTGTAAAGCCCCTGATGAATTTGTAAATGTCATCTTCTTTTCCAATCCTTAACTCCCTGCCGATTAGATGTAAGTATACATCCCCAGGATCCCCAGGATCCCCATGTGTACCCTCAGCTTGATGACAACTCGCACATAAGTAGAGATAACAACAAAGGCTGACGGATCTGAAGCATGCCTTGGGTCGTGGGGTTCAGGGTTTGGGGGGGAGATAGTCTCAGTGTACCTGAAGTCTGGGTCCTATACTACCCTGTACTTGAATTAGATTTCCTGTGCTAGCCTGTAGGACCTGCAGAGAGTGTGCGTAGTAGTCCCAATACGACAATATCCCAGGAAACGATGGTCTGTGCGGGTAGGGCTTTGGGCTACTGTCGTTCTCGCGTCACAATCAATCAGTACAATCATGTGAGCCAATGTTCGTAATCTTGTAGCAATCCCTTGAAGGCTGCTACAATCCCTTAACCCTAAACCCTATCCTTATAAACCCTATATCCTTGAACCCTACAAAACAACCAGCAAAGTCATGGAATGAAAGATTCTGTGGTGTAAGAGGCTGGGGCATGATGTTTTTGGGCTGAGAAGCAAAGGTTGCAGCGCTGTAGCGTCTCAAGGTTTCCGAGTGGGTTTAGGGTTTAGGGGTTCGCGTGTTTCACCGCTGAATGTGAAATGCTGAGCCTGGCTCAAGTAAGATACTCACAAGACAACAAGATGTTGCGCAAAAGGCGCGCCCAACAAACTCATCTATGAGATTTGTGCCCAATTCAAAAAGCCTGCTTATGCAGCCAAAGCCTGCACGCCATTTCCAAATAAGTGAAGGTTTCCCAAAATGAGGGGACCCCAATACAGACCACAAAATACCACAATCCTTCTCACAAAACCCTCCCAAAACCACCCCTAAGTTCGGGAAAGACAAAATCAGTCTGAGCCACCATGCTTCGGGATGTAGATGAAGATGGGGTGCTCGTACCTATGTGCACCCTAATTGTATCTGCTTATCGATTGTTTTAGGAGGGCTTTCGGCTATGGTACAAAGGTGAACAGCTTTGCAAAGCTATGTCCCCCCTTTACTTGTAGGACCCAAGACCTAGAATATCATACCTCAACCGGAGGCAGACAAAGCTTTTCTAAGGAGTCTCCAGATACTCCACCAAGGCATCCACGATCATAGCTCCGAACTTCAGGATCTCGTTGTACATGTCCTACTGACGTCTTCTTATTGCAGGCATTGAGAGCGCAAAGGGTGGAATACTCCCTCTTCTGGGAGAAACCATGGGTGGAGTATTCCCTCTTCTCAACAGTGAACGGGTTCTCTCTAGTTTGCTTCCTAGCTGAAGTACGTTGAGCAAGCAGAATCTAAAAGCAACAGAAACAACAAACAGTGCCTCTCTACATAGGCATAGCCAAGGATCAAGGATGCGATGACGTGACATACTAAACCTACCTACTACCTGGCCTGAAATGGGTTGCGTTTAGGGAGCTCAATCTATGCTGACAGAACACGGAAACCACATTACCACATTACCCGCCATAGACAATATTCTGGTGACTCGGCTTAATTTCTGCAAGCCCCTCTCTCTCTCTATATATATATATATCTCTCTCTCTCTCTCGCGTAGCTCAAGCTTCCATTTCATCTTCCATGTTCTTTTCAATTTGGTAGCTTAATTGCAGTGTCTGAGCAGCAACCCAATACTTAAAGCATCTGCAACTCAAGCTTCCTTTTAATTTCCATTTGTGTCTTTTCCACTGGATTCTCCAATAGTTGTGCTATCCTAGCCCGAAATCCTCCCCCCCCCCCCCCCGCACCCTACCCTAACCCTACCCTATATTATTGTGGAAACCCAAGTTGAGTTCCTCAAGACAAAATCCCGGGAAAAAAACACTTGAGAAGAGTTACCCATATGCTTGCTTGATTGTCCAGGAACTTTTTCATGAATCCAGGCGTCTAATCAAGCAACCTGTTTACAGCTTACCCTGACTAAGTTTCCACAATTCGAGATCTTTTTGGCACCTTTCAACTGACCAACTGACCCCAAAAGATTATCGTATTTGCGCGTCTAGGTCTAGGTCGTGCTCTAAATCCCTAGTATCCCCCTGAATAACTTGTAGTAGTCCGCTATATAACCTCCTTTACTGAGGTTATACCCTAAACCCAGACCCTAAATCCTAAACCGTAAATCCTAAACCCTAAACCCTAAATCCTATATAAGCCCTTATATGACAATTGAAGGAGTTTAGGTTATGGCTGAGGTTAAGGAAGGTCATTGAGCAGCCCGGGGTCCCTGGTTCCGCCAGAGAAACCACGCCAGTTAGCGAAAATGATGACGGGCAAGTTCTCACCTCAGCGGTTTAGGGTTTAGAGGTTTAGGGTCTAGAGGTTTAGGGGTTAGGGTGTAGGGCACCTACCAAACTGCAGGTTTGGGGTCTGGCTTTGGCTATGGGTACAGTCTCCACCCACTCACACAAGACCTCAGAGATACTTTCTGGCATTTTCTGTCCCTTGTCCTACTCCTTTTTGGGGGTGGGAATGCCACAGCGGTCCTGCAATACATGTGTTTTAAGGTTTGACGATTTCTTTGCCCAAGCAGCACCTGCCATTCCAGTTTCTTGTTGCCTCCCCTTTTGACCGCTGGTCCTCACAACTTTTGAGAAAAGATTCCAGTCTTGTATCTGGACCCTCTGACCAGCCCCCACCTGTATAGTCCCCCTTAGATAAATAGACTATGGCTTTGGGAATATTATAATAAGATCTCCATATACACCAGATTCTACCTACTTAAGAGGGACTATAACCTTAAACCTCAACCAAATCCAGAACCCATTGGAAACAAACATCTAAGAAAGCTCAAGCAACAAACCAAATAAACGAAACCCCGACAGCCCCCAAACCCTTTTCAAAACCCTCAACACCAACCACCCACAAGCTCAACTTACGTGTGGTTGGTAGGGACCAAGGGAATATGATCCCTATATACAGTCCCCAGTAAGCAAACCTCAAATCTAAGTCGCCGCGGTTGAAATCCTTCAGCGCCTGCGCCGTCTTGAAGGCACTGTCGGGGAACCACACCTTTCCGCCATTCACCTGGATTCAGGGCGTACATGAGGTTGAGGGTTAGGGTTCCGGATGCTTGCTAGAACCAAGTCACGCTCAAGGCCCCACCCGGCGAACTACATGACTCGTTTACAACGACGTTCATCCTCACCCTGAAAACATAGAGGTTTAGCCTTCTCATGGAATCTCATCTGCGCCCCGCACATAACCATTTTGTAGCCCGCATATGTGCGTCCTCCGGAAAGCCTCTTTGTCATGGCCCCGCCCCTCCCTGTTACAGACCTCTGTCGCGGCCCCTTGTTACAAACCCGTTCGTGGCGGAAACATCGGCTATGAAATGAGGGATTTGTTGCGGGGTCTGTTAGAGGGGTCTGTCGCTGTTACAAACCCTCCGTCGCAGGAGGGCCGCCAAGGTCTGATGCAAGCTTCATGTTTTTGGTCCACTCCCATGTCTCCCCTGCCTGTTTCTGAGTTTTTTTCAAAACTAGGGAACGTATGCCGCACCTGACAAGCGCCTCAGCAATCTTAGATCTTAGGAAACCCTGTTGGTCACTAGGCGTCTTTACGAGATACCCGCGCAAATATAGATATACGTATATAGATCACTAACAGAAAGTTCCTTAACTGCAAGGTTGACAATCAAGCAAACTTAGCTAGACGTCATCTGAGCTACTGTCAATACTTCCTACATATCTTAATGGACAATGGTTCCTTCTCGATGAGGCACTATAGTAAGCAAGAGAAACCCCTATGTCCACTATTCTGGGTCCCTTTCTAAGGCTCATGTTGACATTAGCTCCTCTTAGGACGATTGGGAGTTTCGGCATGCCGTGCAGACCCTGAAAACAAACTCCTGTGGCCCTATACCCTAATTTAATTACCTGAGACCCCTAGGCCTGAACCCCTACTTGTATGGCCCAGATCCTACACCCTCAACACGTAAAAAGCCCAGTGTAAAATCCTGATGGACCCTTCCTAAGAAGGCCTAGGCCCAATATACCCCTTTCGACTACATCCCATATACATATACATATATATGTATATGTATATGTGTATATATATATATATGACCCCTAAATACCCTTGAACAGAAGAGGCCGTAAATTGAATACACATTAGTGGACTACAAACCCCAAACACCCCAAACCCCTTAAACCCTAAATGAGCTGTAGTTCAAACTCCTAGTATCCCCCTTAATAATAACCCCTATAGTAGTCCCCTATATAATCCCCTATATAACCCCCCTTTGAGGAGCTTAGACCCTAAACCCTAAACCGTAAACCCTACATAATCCCTATAATCCCCTATATAACCTCCCTTTAAGGAGTTTAGACTATAGCTCAAATCACGAGGCCTCCTTCACTTCGCAGCTGGCAGGGTTGGAAGGGTCGGCTGGGACCAGGCGCTCCACACTGCGCGTCTCCACCGCAATCACGCCCATAGGCATGCCTTCCAAGGGAGTTTAGGATTTAGGGCTTAGGCGTTTTAGGATTTAGGGCTTAGTGTAGGGGGGTTGCTTGGAGGGTCAGGGGGCCTTAGTAAATATATCCATAACTTCTACAAGCTATGTTGTAGCAACCCCAATTTCCCCAAGTTCTAACGTACGAACTAAGCCTCTCACCGTTATCAGGAAGCTGTCCTTGAGAGCCCTGAGGTTCGCCCCCTTGGGCTCACATGTCTCAACCCTGGGATATAGCCCTTAATCAGGGTACTTGGGGCCCCAAACCCGAGGTACAAACCTTACTTGGAGGGTCAGGGACACTTGGTACGTAGACTTATAGCCTCTATAACCCACATAGTAATCCTACTTATCCCCATTATACACCTACTTATTAAGTCCCCTGACCCGCCAAGTAAGGATACAAACTTCCAGTCCTTTAGGTTAGGGGTTCAGGACAGTTCAGGGTTTAGGGGTCAGGGCTGGGCATATAGAAGATTTCAGGAGTTCTTGATGAGACTTAGGGCTTAGGATAGCGTTTAGGGTCTAGGGCTTAGGGGTCGGGATTGTGGTTTAGGGCTAAGGCCAGCTCAGGGGTAAGGACTTGCGGATTGGCATCTGGGGCAATTCCGAGTTCAGGGATGAGGGCTCTATGCGGCTTGCTGGCGCTGTGAAAACCGGGATACCCCTGCAACAACGCCTATCAAAATCCTTTAAGTTAGGGGTCTGTGGGACTTCCGCTGCATAGGTTGAAGATCACAATCCCAAATCCTTGCCCCTACATCCTGAACTCTAAATTCTATGCCCTAAGCCCTATACCATAAGCACTCTAACCTAAATCCCTAGGCCTAAACCCTGAAGCTAGACTTCTGGTCCCTACCAAGGTTTTTTTAAAATGTAGTAAGGCAGGGCTTTTAGTTACCGAAACCTCTATAGCAAGGTAAGATCCCTCTAGCGATCATGTGACTACAACGGTGTCCTAACTCTAGGAGTTGGGGTACCTAATGCCCTCTTGTTCCCTCCATAAACCCTTTCAGCGACAGAGTTTCCGTGTCATTTCCCTTGATTCTTTATTACAGGGAATGATATCACCCCTATATACCCCGTATGCCCTTATATAGCCCCGATAAAGGGCTCTCATTTTTGTCGGGAGAACCCTCAGGCCTCCCAGGCGGGCACGGCCAACCTTCGATACACACAAAGCAAGGCGCTGGCATTTCAGGATTAGGGTTTAGGGTCTACGGATTTAAGGGGATTAAGATCTACCTGAACCCCCCAAAATCTGGGGCTTAGGGAGTAAGAGTTCAGGGTTTAGATGCATAGGGATTGAAGTTTTGGGCGTAGCTTGTTCTTTAGCATTACAGTTTAAGACTTTAAGACATAGCCTAAACCCGAAACCTTACAGTACAGACACCCTAAATTCAGGGCTGGTGAGGTTTAAAGACACATTCTAAAACACTGCCCCCTGATCGCCACATGTTCCATCATTAACCTAGAAAGGTTGAGGGTGAAAATGTTACACCTGATGCGCTCCAGCAACGATGACGGTTCTGCCCCATCCCTCGAGGTACCTGAGTTGGATATACAGGCTCCATCAAAAATCGCGCCGGACTTCTCAGATGAGACTCCTCCAGAATGCGTGCTTCCCGGAATTCTTTAAAAGTCATGCATGATGGACACTAGACATAATATAACACTTGCTGATATCTTCCCAGCAACTCCGTCCAGGAGCCAGCGTCAAAGAAGCCGCGCTTGCGAGACCCGTCGTGGTCGATCACGCCGCGCAGGAAGTCTCGGGGATCGTAGGGAAGCCTGGGCTACCACAAAAGAAATGGAAATGACATGGAAGCTACTGGTCAAGGTGCAGACTTGAGGGATGTTGCCCCGATGATGGCAGTAGGCAAAGAAGATGGAAAATGACATGGAAGCTAGGGTTACATGAATGGAAGCTAGGGTTACATAGGCGGGGTAGGCCAGACATCCCCATCCCGAAAAAGCACACGTGCGTCCAGAAACAGCGAGGGCTCGAACTCCACATCGCGGTCCCAAGGGTCGCTGCCCGACGGCTGGCAAACTGGCGGCAGGCAGGAGACCTGAGTCTGGAATGATCACTATCAAGGGGCAGGGTGAAGGGTTTAGGGTTTAGGGTCTATAGGATTTCGAGTTTAGGGTTAGGTTCAGGGCCTAGGGAAACTGTAGATGGGGGCATGAGGGAATGAAACTGAACGTGGGAACTCCAATATTGTGGGGTTTAGGGTTGGGGGGTTTCAGTTGATAAGCAAAGCTCCGCACCCCCTGATAATACGTGTTCACCCTATTACACGATGGTGCTGGAGTGGGTATTTTGCATTAGGAGCAGGGGGGAGGATTTTTTTGGGGGGGATGACGAACATCAAGGGAGCATGGTCTTACTAATATGAGGGACTGTGAGAGTTTAGGGTTTAGGGGAACATTAGCCTTACCAAGGGACCATTAGCGGAGAACATAGAGGTCCCTTTGGGAGTTTAGTGTATGGTCCCTAGTTAATATATTGCCTAATAGCAACCTATGCCCAGTCATCATGCCGGGAAGAGGTATGATCGACGGACTAGAGTATTCCTAGCTGCAAAACTGCTTATTTTGGACTCGCTGGTGGTTCGTAGGGAACAGATAGGTGTATGGGGACAGCACGGAAATGTTAGGCGTGCCTCGCTCGGCATTCTGGAGGAGGCATGTTGAGAAACGCTCGAGCTCTAGTTTAAACTCTGAGCATCCCCCCTAGTAACCCCTATAACACCCCCCTGTATATCCCTGTATAACCACCCTTTAAGGAGTTTAGGCTATGGCTTAAATCAGTAAGTTGAAGCTTCGGGACTGTGCTGGGCTTCTACAACGCTTTCCAGAATCCAGGGAATTTTGTCGGTTCCTCAATCAAGTATGGGCCTTGCCGTCCCAGTCTTGCACCATAGTATAGTGCAAAACTGGGACGGAAGGACTTTTGGGGGATTGACAGATAGTAGTTTCCACAAACGAGGCAACTCCAATGTAGACCCCAAACTACTATAATCCTGTGATGGGGACACCCAGAAAGGCACCCCTCATTTTGGGAAACCCCAGATCATTTCTGCAGCTCGCACTGCAATGGTATGAAGCCTACAGCTGGGTGTTCATCGATCGGAAGAAAGGTGACCTGTTTTTGCATAACGGCCTCAAAGAACCACTTCCCACCAACCATCACATTATTGTTATGAATGCTGTTTTACTGCTTTCTTATTATAACTCATATAACCACTGTCCTGATGATACGGCCACCCTGGTGGTGCTGCTCTGCAAACACCTACCACAACTAGTAGGGAATGGGGGAATATATAGGGACTAGGAAAAAGGTTTATATAGGACTACTGACCAATTCCCTAACCTAAACCCAAAACCCTAAACCTAAAGCCTACCCTACTACTACCAAGCAGGTAGACTTTCTGGGCTTGGTCCGGGTTGGTCACTGAGGTGCTTTGGCCCGTTTGCCGCTGTGCTGAACCCTTAACCCTAAGCCCTGAACAAACACCACAAACACCAAAGGCTCCCGTTGTGCTTTGCGGGTTCTTTAAGAGTGGTGGCAGGGCCATCTTTCCGCGAGCCCAAGATCCAAGCGTTTGCAATGCATCGAGGCTCGCTGACTCGTTAGTGCACCCTGAATCCAAAGTCCCATCTGCGCAGCCAAAATTGCACACGGTTGAGGATTTAGGGATATGGGGGTTGTTTCTTTTTCGGATTACATTCCTGCACACCCTGGGCAACTACCCAATTTCAATAAACGATGTCTTTCATCATGGTCCAGCGGCATCCTTGGGGACGTAGGACAGCCAGTCCAGGATTGCGGACATACCCTCCTTTTGTGTGACCGTTGATGCTACAGATGTATTTAAAATTAGCAATAACCGCACGAACCACATTAATCCCAACGTTGCATCCATCAGTGTAAGTCACAATACTTCATCTCCTATGCAGCTATTTCTAATCAATATCAAACATGACTACCTATGGTCAATCAAACGGCATCATTCAAAAAAAACAAAAAAAAGCATGCTCGTCCCTAGTTGGACTAGCATAGTGGAGGAGCGTCCGTAGTTGTTGCAGCTGTTGCAATGCTTCTGGTCAGATATGGACTTATACAAAGTGCTAGAATGAATCAATCGATCCCCCATGATTATGAAACCGACAAACGCGGGCGTTATCCTTAAGTACAAGAATGTCCCACAAGGTAAGTGGGTTTCTCTGTTGATCATCCGCTTTAGTAAAAGTAGGGGGAGGTGAGAGATGTTTATGAGGATCAACGCCGATACATTTAAAAAAAGCGCCCATGCTAAGCCCTGCATGAAGGTTTGGTATAGCCAGCATTGCCAGTTAGCGGCTGTTAGTGTATGAGGGCCAGCCGTTTAGCCTACAGCCTTTCAAACGCAAGGGTTACAGGTTTAAGGCTTGGCATTTAGACTTCTGGACAACCTCTGTACGTACATCCTATGTATATACGTGTACACCTATAAAGTATAGTAGACACTCTCTTCAAAGAAGCCTATGCCTCTATGAGATTCTGAACGAAAAGCAAAAGAACAGCCAACAATGACCCAGTCCTGGTCGTCTCTCACCACCTGGTGCGTCACACCGTTAGGCACCATGATCTGTGGGCCTTGAAGCTGTTCAGGGCTTTGGAAAAAGAAGCCTAAACCGGGCCTAAACCTTAAACCCTAAACTTTTAGGATCTTTTAGGCCGCGTTTGGCCTTTAGGGTTTGCAAGAAGTTTTTGAGCTTGAGGCTTAAGGAGTTTAAGGTCTTCAGGTCTAGGGGTTTCGGTCTAAGGTTTAGGGTTTGCTAGCTTGAGGTCTTAAAGGTTTGGGGCCTAGGGTTTCGGGATTCGGTTTTCGGGCTTTGCATGGTTTAGTGTAGGTTCTGGCCATTTTGAAAGGAAATTGTAGGATTGTAGAGTTTAGGGTTCAGGGGTAGAACTATGATCCACAACATCTAGAGTACAGTAGCAGAACTCTCTGGTCTCCTAGACCCCAAAATCACAAACCCTTGAACCCCAAACTTTCTCTCTCTCTCTCTCTCTGGACACCTAAACCCGAAATCATAAGTTAAACCCCAAACTAAAAACCTTTAAACCCTGGACTGTATTCCCTGAAGCCTGACCCTATTCCCTGAACCCTAGACCCTAACCATTCCTGAACCCTCAACTATGTTGGCAATATCCGCCGTGACGCCTCCCAGCTGGTCTTGCGAGGAGTACACGTTCTTGCCCAAGAGCTTGTTTAAGGCGGAGAACCTGGTACTAGGTAGCAAGAACTGAGTAATGAGTAAGAATCAAGAATCATGGTGGTGTAAATGCTTGAAGTCCTTTATGAGGTTTTGGGGCTGGGTACACTCAACAAACATGGAACCCCAGGTGGGCCTTCGGTCAAAGGACAATAGTCTTGACATGGCCCTTTTTGGGGCTCTATGTTACTTTGGACAAAAGAACCCAAAGATGACACCTGTACTAGGGAAGAAATCATGCCGAAAAGCAGCAAAGCTGTAAGATTGGCAAAGAATAATACCAGGAAAGAAGTTCGAAAGTTCCCACGAGATGTATGTAGCTGTTCTAGACTAGACCTTCCAAATGCGAAGCCTAAATGCTATGCAGGTTTAGGGCCTAGGGTTTAGGGTCTAGGGAGGCTAAAGCTTCATGTGTCTAACTTTCAGAAGCACAGCCCTGAAGGCTTCAAAGATCCTGAAGCCGCAAACCCCATGGACCATCCATCAACTTTTGGTACCCTCATAGTCCCCCCCCCCAGTAGATAGAATATGGGGTATGTGGGATCTTTTGATAATATACCCACAACCATATTCCATCTAAATCTACTGAGGGGGCTTATATAGCAGTAGAGTCAACTATAACTTATGACCCATAACTATGTGGAAGTCTCCTTGACGTATCCTAAATTCCATTACTGTACACGGACTCATGGTATTGTTAATTATTTTGGCTTCTACATTCACCTGAACATGATCCCTTGAAGCGTCTGGACCGAGCAGCCCTGTGAGGATCATGGGGCTGCTGACCATCTGGATATTTCGCTGACCCAAGCGGTTCCTGAAATAAGGGTTGAGGGTTCATGTAGCTAACGTTCCAGCTACACAGGGAGCAGAGAGAACTGCTCTCAGAGTTCTATATTCCTTTGCATGGCGGATGATGAGTCGACCTGTTCGAAGTTATCTCCTTGCTGCCCGTCTGGTTTTGCAACACCCCCACCCTTCACAACCTTCTCATAGAGTAATGGGAAGCTTTTGATGGTGTTGGGCGGGGAAGTCTTATGATAGGGTTTACAGTTTGATTTTACACCCAACGCCGGCTTCCAAACTTTGGGGTACCCCGTTGGATGGTGTTGGGGTATCTCAGGTGCTGAACCGATGCCCGAGGTTCAGGTATGCGCCGATACCCACAGAGCGGCCTGTGATGTAGGAGAGCGTAAAGGTCTCCTGGTACGCCCTGCCTGTGTGGCGATGATATTGTTTGGTTCACCTACGTCTAGTTTAGGCTCAGGGTGAAAAGCTTAGGTTTAGGGCAACCCTCACCAAAGGTTTATGAAAATTAATATATTGGGTTCTATATTGAGGCCCTCTTTCTGCAGAGCTCCATGTAGGAAATATAGGAGCAAGTCTTTAATCTCACTGGTGGTTAGTAGGGAAGAAGAAAAAACTTAACCCCTGTATAAATATGTATACACATACACATACCCCAAACCCTACACCCCCAACCCCCTAAACCCTCAACCCCTGATTCCCTACTAACCCCCAGTTAGCAACCCTAAACCCTAAACCCCAAACCCTAAACCCTAACATTGACCAAGCTTCTGGTCTCGCCAGCGATGAGGCCGCTGCCCTGGAGATTCTCAACTCCAATGCCGCCCTCCGTGCCTTCCCGTTGACTTGAGGGTTTAGGGCTTTAGGGTTTAGGGTTTAGGTAGATATATGTATGTATGATTATGTATGTATGTATGTATGTATGTATGCATGTAGGGATCCTATAGGATTAATAGGAATAGTGATTTGAGGCCATGGACTATAGGGCATATGCAATTATCATACAAGCAAGCGGGATAAGGGATAATGTATCGGCTAAAGACATATATAGAGATCACATAGGGTCAATAGGGATAATGGAGAATCAAATGGACAATGAGATGGAAACAAGGGTTACGTTGGGATTTGGTGGTTTCCGGAAAACAGGGGACCCTTCTGGTCCCTGCAATCAAGATGATAGTTTTTTGGGGGGCCTACACTGAGTATTTTGGGGGGCCTACACTGGGGTGGCTCTCCCATCTGTAGAACCTACGAACCTACAATTTGAGGCTTACCGCGCACGGTGCCCCAAGAAAGCCAGACTGCATTCTCTGGCATCTTCGAAGCTACACGCTACTCCCAAAGGTTTAAAAAACTTTGTGATGGATCCAAAGTCAAAACCTTAATTATAAGCTTCAACTGCCCTAGGACTCCAAAAGCATCAGCCCTGATGTGGAAGCTTAAATTGATTAGAAAAGGGCTTTGGGGTATACTGCACTGGATGTATCTAAGGACTGTTCAAGAATAATTCTGGGAATGGTTCAAGCTTCTGCAGCACCTCAGGCATAAAGCAACATCCTGTCACCTGCTCGAGGGGTTGGTTAAAGCAATATGCTAAACCTTAATCCCTACGCTTGCACCCTATGTAATTATTGAATCTAGGTAGTCATCAAAGCAGTAGAGGCGCTCTTGAGTCCCTCGCCGATGATGGCATCCAGGATGTATCGCTCCTCGCCGCCTTCGGAGACCTTGCGTGCCTCCACTGTGCCTGGTTGTGGGTTTCGGTGGTACGTGTCAGGCCACTGGAAGTTACTAAGTAGTTAACAACGGGGATTTTCCCCCTTGGTTAATTTGATTGACTTACTTACAGAAACCTGGGGTTGTTATGTGGCTTATAGCATTTGTTGGAATGTTAATTGGCACCCGTGCTAACTCCCACTGACTCTCGAAGTAGGATTTGGGGCTCCAGCCTTCTGAGTATGTGAGCAGCTGAAAAATGGAAATGGAAGGAAAACAGATCTCATACGAGGCACGCGGGAATGATATGGGTTATCCTGCTTTGGGGTCCCTACGCTTGCGACGTAGACACCTGCAGGCAGCTTCTCGTAGTCGTCCTTGGTCAGGTAGAGGTACCTTACTTCTGCAAAGCTCCAGGCTCAATCTGCTGCATTTCAAGGTTCGGGCCAGACCACCAGCAAACGTATCTTGGGCGAAATCCCCCGGATTCTACACTGTACCTGCCGGCCCTAAACTAAGGTAGGTTTGGAGGTGCCAATAAACTCAAATATTCATAGCTATATAAGGAATATATGGGGGTTTCCCCAATTTAGGGGTACCTTTTTGGGGGTCCCTATAATAAGGACTATAGTATTTTGGGGTCTATATTGGGGTCCCCTTAATTTGGGAAACTACCATATAAGGATCAAGGGTAGCAAAGAAAAATATGTTCCAACCTACCCCTCTAAACCCTAAACCCTCAACCCAGCTACTCGAAGCCTTTGCCGCAATCTGAAGGATCCCACCACTGGATCTTGTACAAGGGCTTCAGCTCCTCCACAAGCCTGGTCTACTCTAGCTAGCTTACTATTAGTAGGGAATAAGGGAATATAAGTGTACAGTCTCATACCGGAGCTGGGATTGAGGTTCCCCATACACGAAGGCCAGCGCATTTTGGAGGAGAAGGCCACTAACCGCGACAACATGGCATCGGGAATTCAGAAGGGCATGGTTCTGGGACCACTCTTCTGCTTTTGATGTGTGAAAAGCTGATCGGCACACTTCTGGACTGTCAACTGCTTATCTCATAATTCTGCTTGCATACATGTACACACGAGCATGTTACAACACCACGGCTCGATGCAAGTTAGAACCTACTTTTCTGTCAAACCTTGGGCTCAAAGCTCGTTGGCCGTAAGTCATGCCACGAGTCTTCTGCCCATCTGCGCACTACACGCGCTTGAACACTTCAACACACACACACACACACACACACCCTACCATCGGTATGGCCTGCATTCTTCAACCATCGCTATCGCCGTGACAGCCACTTCAGCGTTGTTTTTGACAACGACCATTGCATTTCTCAAAATATACAAAAGCACCTTGCCTGCAACGTCAAGACATTATCCCCTGTCCAAGAGCCTTAAGGTGATGTTCGGAAAAAAGAACGTGCCTAAGTCTACTAGGTCTATATCATTATTGTTCGAGCAGCCCAACGCGGGCGCCGCTGTTGCAGGACACGTAAACGCGGGGGAGTCCCAGCTTTCTGGCATGCTCGGAGGCCTTCTGGAAGAACTGGTCCTGGCATGTCATGGACAGTAACTTCCATGTCCTGATGAAGGTTCTCCATGCTTCGAGACATGGCTCGCCTGAGGAACTTCTGGGTGCTCTGAGGCTTGACGGTTGGGTATGTAGATGCTGTCACATGTAGGCGTGATTTCAGGTCGGTCCTCGCGTACTCCGAAGGAGCCTGCCTGGAAGGTCACATCGTTCGCGATGAGAATCACAACCCTACCTTCTGGGTACTCTGGGGTCTTCATGGTCAGCTTCCATGCCAACATCCCAACATCGTTGGAACCCTCCGGGCGCTCTGTCTCTATGAGCTCCATCTTGGACCAGTCCATCACCAACTCCACAGCAGTCAGGGGGTTCTTGGGGACGCCCTCCGGAATCTTTGAAGGCACGGTCATGCTGCCACGACCACGAGGTGAAGGGCTGCGCTTTCTGGCACCGCCCCCTTGACGCCCCTCTCTTGGGGAACTGACGCTCGAACCTGTGCTCGTGATCCACTTCATGGTTAGCGCCATCTGCAGCATTCCGGGCAAGTCGAAAGCATACGTGGAGCCTGCACGACGGGCTGCCACACGCTTGGCCTGATAGCGACTCAAGGCAGCCCGGTCGGCCACATGCGGATGCTCGAGTGGGCTGAGAGCTGCACCTTCCTTAGCCGCCTCCCAGCGGAGCGGGAAGCCAGTGACGGGGTCTGGGAACTCCCTCAGCATCTTAGGCTTCAAGAAGCCGCCGCCCAGGGAGGACAAGGAGAGACGGAGAGTCTCAATGGCCGATCCTGCCTTGCGGTGCACCTTCACCTCAATCTCATCTACGCAGAGCTTGATGATGTCAGAGCCTCGGAGGCCCACATGGCTGCTGATGGTGTCGGTGAAGCGTTGCTCCAACTCTCCAAGCTCCATGTCCAGCTCCCCCACGAAGTGCACGAAGATTCTGCTGATGACGGACGGGCCCAGCTTGGCCACACGGGGATCCAGCATGGCGTGCTCGACCTCCTCCAAGGCAAGGTCCAGGCTGTCCGTCAAGCTTTGGCCGAAGGACTCCTTGCTGACTGAAAGGAAGAGGGCCCTCATCAAAAGCTCTGACGTAGAGGCCTTGCCGCTGATCATGGGAGGCGTGGCCAAGTAGATATGCGAGGTCGGGCGCACCTCCTTGTGGATACGCTGGAGGGTGTAGAGTCGCTGGAGCGATCTCAGCTCCAGCAAGCCCGTGAAGGATGGCCAGAGGTCCCTGGACAGCTCGCTCTCAGACCACTCCTCCGTAGTGGGGTCCAAGCTGAATTTCACGAAGCGTGGGTGGCGAGGAGGCTGGGGCAGGGCAACGAAGATCTCGCCCACGCCGGCTGACTTCAGCAGCTCAGCCTGCTTGGCGAAGACTTGCTGGCACTGCTTCAAGATCTTCTCCAGCTCGGAGTCAGTGTTATAGAACAAGGTTCGGTCCGTGATGCCAGGGAAGGCGTCGCGGCCGGCCACGATGTGGAGAAAGTTCACCGGGACACCCTGAACGGTCTGCTGCTTGATCAGGGGGCTCAGCAGCTTCTCATCAAGCTCGAACTTGGAAAGGTCCTCTGCTGTGCTTCGGAGGTCTGGCAAATTGTTCCTACAATGACCACTGCTGGTCTCAAGTCCTCCTACTTGGTCATCATCTGCTTCCCATGCATTTTGTGTTTTAAGTCTCACCGCTCATCTTTTGTCAAGCTGCATGTGGAATTCTGGTAGAATCCTTTCTACTACTCCTAGATGGCGCAGTCCCTCTCACCATGGGCACATGCCCAAAGTACTAGATGACCCTCGTCCCAACACACAAAAGCCCAGATCCCTGAACCCAATATTATTGAATCCTTGTATAGCCTTTTCGTACAATCTGTCTACATTAGCCCTTAAACCTAAACCCAGCATTCTAAGCTCACTGTTGCTTGGAGGGCCAGGCGGACTTAGAGACTTATGGCCCCTATAAGCCATGTGGCAACCCCACTTACACCAGTTAATCACTTACTAAGTCTCTCTGACCCTTCCTTCAAGTAAGCTTGTTGAAACAACATTCTGACCTAAACCGTAAACCTGAAACCCTAGACCTGGTTTAAAGTAGCCAAGGTTCTGGGGTCACTGTGAGGAGGCCGTGACGGTTGTGCTCCTGCCCCGGCAGCACCGGGAAACAAGTGAGTCCATGTGGCTAAAGCACTGCTGACATAGAGCTAGGGTTCAGGGTTTAGGGCTTATGGAGAGATAGAGCTTTCAAGGTTTAGAAAGGATTTTGGTCACCCCATCCCTCATAAGAAGGACCCTCCAGGAGTCACATTAAAATTCATATGAGCCATAGTCTAAACTCTATTCCTCCTCAATAAGCCCCCTTAAGGGGTTCAGACTACAGCTCATATAGGATCCTCATTCTTAGGGATTGGGGCTACCAAAGTCGCCTACTTCAGGTTCCAGGATTGTAGTGCTTCACAGTTTTCAGTCTTTGGGTTGGAGGGTGTTGCGCTTCCTCGTGGAAGGACATTGAAATCGCAAGTTTCCTTCTTGATTTCTCTAGTACACGAAGAGTTCTTCCCAATAACTTGGGCCTCAGATGAACCCTAAACCCTAAACCCTAAAAAAAGATCCAGCAATGACTCAGGCTCATGGGTCCTGGGCCGTGAACCCAAGCCCCCCTAAACCCTAAACCCTGGTTCATAGGTCCTGGCCGGCAGCCACGGGGAAGAACCTGGGTAGCTGTAAACGAAATTCAAGTAAGGTACCATAATCGCAAAGCTCCGCTGGGGTTTGAGGTTTATGAAATGTACTTAAGGTTTAGTGTTTGGGGTTTAGGGTTTCCTGAATATTATATGTATATATATACATATATGCATACGCGTTCATAACTTAGTTGAAGTTCATAAAACAGGCCTCCTTGTAGCTCCGGTTCCCACTTCGTTTTCCATCATGCTAGCTTAACCCGAACCCCTATACCCTAAAACTCTATTCTACAACCCTTACCACTCATTTTAGCCCGCCCTAAACCCTAAACCCTAAACCCTTGTAATATGACCCTTTGATCGCAACCCAGGAACTGGGTCCAAACGGCCGATTTGGTTCCGGCGACGACCTCCACTTTGGTAAGCCTTAGGCGTGGTCCGCTGAAGAACTAGAAGGGTTTTTTTTTTTTTACAACCCCGGGGATTCTTGTCGGGTCTAGCTTACACTCGGGGGTAAGAAGGATGGTTTCGGGTTTAGGGTTTAGTGTTTAGGGTAGGAGGTTATGCCTTGTGCATTCTCTCGAGTTGGCTTAAGCTCCTTCATTTCATGGGCAAGCGTATCACGAAACACTATTAGCATTAATCTTAGGTATCTATTGGACTGTGGTACATCGCCCGATTGTAACTTGGGTTTTTCCCTACCTAAGCAGGCACAGTTTGTTAGGCTCTTATGGTGCAATCCCTACGAACACAAGCTCAGTTTCCATTTCCTTTTCCTTTTCTTTTGTATTAGGTTCTCCACTACTATCCCAATGGATAATAAGATTGATAACTAGCTTGGCTTGAGCTTCCTTTCAAAATATATTAGAACGTCGAATATTAGGCGTTGGGGGCCGTTTAATCTGAGTACTTGGCGGGTGAAGGGCCTAGCAAGTATACTTCTGAGCCCTATAACCCCTGGTTAGCCCAGTTCTTAACCTACATACAAAGTCCCCCTAAACCCCAAGTCCCAAACCCTACACATTTCTATAACCCCTTTAAAGGGCCCTCCCTTTAGGGCTTCAGCTCATCTTTTACCCCAACCCCAAGCCCAAATCCTTAAACCCTAATCCC